CTCACAGAGGCTGAGAGATTCGGAAGATGGGTTTGGGAGTGGGGAACCGGCAGGGATGGAGTGGACGGTTGCCACGTCCTCTTTCTACACTACTGCGTGACAAGGTCCTGAGAAGGGGACAGAAGCTTCCAGGAATGTGTCGTCAAGAACGAGGACGTTGCATGTGTTTAGGGATAGTTGGTTTCTTAGGAACGATCCTATTAATAGGGGGAATTTGGGTAGCACAAATTCTAGTAAGTGTAAACGCTGTACAAGTGGATTTCCTCAAAATTGGCTCTGAGGAAAACATAGTAAATTCCCCGCGTATGGAATCAGCTCCAGTCACCCTGACATGTCCAGAATGCGTAAACCCTTTATTTGAACAATTATTAAGAGAAATTCCTTTTGACTCGCCTCTTAAAGATGTTATGAATAAATTATAACGAGCTGAATTATTAGAACCAGTTTATACTCCTGTTCTCGCGCAGTTAGTAGAAAAATTAGTAAAGGATAAGAAATTTACTCATAAGCCTGCGCCTACTATGGAAGGGCCTCCTTTTGTGGCCTACTGGATAAGTGGAAAACTCTGGTATCCACCTAGCGGGGCTAATAGTATGAAAAGATTACCTGATCCTCCTCTGCCTTATACAGGACCTTATAATGAAGATAGCATACGTATGGTGAATAAAGATGTAATTCATGTGCCTTATAGTAGTTTAAGTTTTATAGAAAGGCTGGCTAGGTCACGACCTCCTTGGTGCTTAAAAAACAAAGGAACAGAAACTTAGCTTATGAAAGCAGCTTTGTAAAACTGATTTTTATAAATATTCTTCAACTTTAGATAATAGCATAAATAAAGTAGCAATTAAAAGATTTCTTCAGGCAGAAAGAAGAACAATGTCTGCCCACAAGCCAATATTTGCTGTTATGAATACCTCTATCTATCACCTTTACTTAAGTCAAACTGTATCTTACGTAATAGATGTAGGAATTAAAAGTTTAGATTGTTCCATCAGGTAATCCTGTTCTAATGATTGAGAAAAGAATGTACTAGTTAATCATGAATATTAATAATAATATACACTATAAGATTTTCTGCTTCGCTTAACCACAGAAATTTAATTCCCTGCTATCTTAACCACAAAGTATAATCAAATGCCAAAATGGAAAGTATAAAAGTTGTACTCAAATCACAATAAAACGGAACAGTGTCACACCGCCTCTGAGTTGTGTAGTCGACTGTCCCCACGCCGACGCCTTGCCCACCTTCGGGGCCCCCTGGATCCTGTCGTGGCTGGACCGTGACAGACGGTGTCTGGGGTTCAAATGGAATGGGAGTGGGTCACTTGCGGGAGGTTTTCTTGATGATTTTGGGACCCAGCAGTCCCAGTCTGGGGGAACTAACTCCACACAGCATCACCAGGGGTGGGGTACGCCCCATTCGGCCCAGGGGCCTGTGCCCTGCCGGCAGAGGGAAGCCCAGGAGCCCAGGCCAGTTTTAGCATTCCGTGATGTGGATACAGGACAGAGTTCGTTCCTTTGTTTGGGGGTGGGAAACTGCTGTGCCTCGAGTGGACAGGAAAGCCCTCCTCCCACTCCACATTCGTAGCCCCCGGGGCAACTGGCCACCCAGGCTTCCAGCACTGTGCACATGTCACCTGGCACAGTGCACAGCTTATCCTGCCACTCTTGGGCCTTGCTGTTGTCACTTCTCCGATGCCCCAGAGGCATGTCTGTGTGGGCCTACGCTACTTTCTGACCTGTTTCATAAACATTATGGGGTTAGGTGGGGGGCCCAGCATGTGCAACTGCGCACATTCCAGAAAGCCTGGCCCTGGGGGGAGCTTAAGGGCTTGGCCTGGACACTAGGGGTGCAGTGCTGAAGATAGAGGCCAGGTTCCTGTCCTTCTGGCAAGGCGGGCAAAAAACCATTGGGGACAGTTGTTTACATTCAGCCAGGCCTTGGAGCACCCCCCGGGGTCGGCTCCACTAGAGTCGATGGGAGCCGAGGTGATTCTGAGCGTGTGGAGCAGAAGAAGCATCAGAAACAGGTAGTTGAGGGGCATTGTGGGTGGTGACCCTGTCTTTGCAGAAGTTCTCTGGCCAGGGTGAGCGGGAAGTAGGCGAGGGACTGGAGGGCGTTGGAGAGGAGCGGACGGCAGGTGTGCGGGGAGCGGCTGGCAGGGTGCGCGAGGAAGCTTTCCCCGTGCGCCTGGCCTCTGTGCTCACGGCTCCCTGAGTGGTTACAGACCCGCCGCCTTCCAGGCCGCCCGGCGCACAGCAGGTGCTCATCTGTATCACTGGAAGCTCCTGTGGAGCGAGTGAGTCGACGTCTCCGAGCCTCACCTTCCGTCTGGGTGGGAGACGGCCTCCTGGAGCGACAGGGGGGACGGACCGGTGACGGGTGGCGTGTCTGCCCAAGCGGCTCCAGCAGCCCTCAGACCTGAAGCTAGGCCGCGGAGGACCGCCAGGGGGCGCTGCGCCGCCACCGCCTGCCCGGGGCGTGGCTCCAGTCCCCGCCCACCGCCTCCGGGGCGGGACGCGCGTGCGCAC